CCAAATGTTTTATCCTCTACTTTGGCGTCCATCACCCAAAGGCTTTCCCAACGTAGCACCTTCTCGACTCTAATGGCTATATGGCCAAGCTGCGGGGAGTTTTAATTGATCGTCAAGTTGGATTTGTTTATATTAATCGCGTGTCAGTTGTGAGCATCGGCATAATGATACAGCCGCCACACCTTGTACCCAAGACAACTCCACAACTTGCAACAACTCTAGCGACTACGACATCGATTATCCCTTTCGCTTGATGTGTTTTGTTATACCTACACCCAGATAGTCCATCACATAATACCTGGCCAACACCACGCTTCATCTCAAGTCTCGAGACTGTAAAACTATACCTGCTATTGCCGATGCGTAAAGAAAAAACAGTGTGGGCGAATCGTACATGTGCAGGTGTGTGGTGCACAAAGCACAATATATAGCTGATGAATATATATGTATTAAAAAAAAAAATTAAATTAACGGTACGTGCTACCTGCTCCGCGCATAATAACAGCGTCGTCAAAATCGTATCTCGAGCAGGTGGTGCGCCCCGGATCGACCTGTAATGTACTAAGATGTTATGCACACCTCTCCGTCCCATCGAGCTTGATCTTAACGACGAGACGCAAAACTAGTGCCTTGTGCACTTGTGTATTTATCTCCCTCCCCGTCTAGCATGCCCACTTGCATATATATATTATATAACTCTATATCTTTACGGGCCGTGTTGCTGCGTCACTTTTTTCTTCTCTCTCTCTCTCTCTATCTCTTCGCGTATACTATCATCCGGGAAAATGTGCCGTTTACCTGGGCGCGTGTGTGTATTATTACCCTGGTGCAAGCGCGCGACGAGAGCGTGACGAGCTGCTGCGGTCGATAAATTCAAACGACCCCTCGATACTTGCTTGTGTTTATTTGTGAGTTGGCACGCGCTACTCGCTCCGATCCTGCACAGTGAAATCTTAATTGAATTTCAGCTGTCGATTTAGCGCACGAGCCATTACGTATATGTGCATAACGTGTGGTAAAATCGCGGGTTTGCCCGTCAAAACGGATTATTCACGCGCGCACGTGTATAGGTACACCTACCTGTTAATTATGTCGCGTGTGTGCTCGAGCTATACATATTATATACTCGTGGAGGCACTGTGATATTGAAAATGAGAAGTATGGAAAAAAAAAAAAGGAAAAACCGCTTAATCATCAACCGCGCTGCTCTCGAGCTTGAAGTGAACTTTTCCTTTTTCCCCTCCCCCATTTACCCAAATAAGTAGGTGCGCTGTTAATGATAACGGGCAACTGCTTATTAACGGAGTTGCGATTATAATTTCGTGTAATTATCTCTTATCTAATTAACGTGTGTGCGCGCGAGGAGGAATGGAGATTTATTGGAAAATTTAGCTAATCGCGGCGTGTATGGGTATATAGAGAGAGGTGTGTACATATACCACCTGTATACGTGATGGCTGTGCGAATAAGATGAAAGGGAGAAAAAAAAAAAAAAATATTAATTGGCCCGTGAAAGCGTAAGTTGAGGGGAAGGAGAGTAAAAGTAAATAGAGAGCCGATGTGGTTGTTTTTTTTCTCGCGTCCACGCGACAGAAGAGGTGACGGGAGAGTGCTATTGTATATATAGGTCCGGTCAGAGAATGAAAATTATCAAGAAGTTTTTTTTTTATTGTTTGCTTATATATATGCTGCCCGAAAAAGGAAAAGGTTCGGACAATACTCAGAGGTACTGTTTGATAATAAGTCCAGATTCCCGAGTTTTTTTGCGAATCGATGCCAATAACGCAAAAATGTACATCGAGGCGCGTGTACACCGTCACGCGGAATAATTATTCAACGTTACGTGAAACTCTGCCGCGTTGCATCTATAATGATAAAATACGCGTACGGAAGCAGCGCCCCGAGAGATCAATCGGACGCGATGACTGTTTATTCACGCAATAATCGGTAAGGAAAGTGTGGATGCTTCGTAGAGTGCACACGGAATCTGCATGCCGAATGTACCTATCTATATTGTATGCAGGTATAGCTGCTGCAAAGATTCCGAAAGACGAAGAATACCCGGAGCAAAGTATATAAATCATCGCAGAGGTAAAGAAAAAAAAAATTGGAGAGGAGGAAATGGAAAAGAATAGTACATAATGGCCGAAGGGGTGCACCTACGCAGGGCTTGGAAGTACCCTGGTATGCGCATCTCTTCTGTATATATATATATATTCGTACCTCTGTATGCATTGGTGCTCGAATGTACATACACGTGGCGCGGCGAGTTCGAAAAATGGGGAAGCCGGAAATTCGTGCTTACTGCAGAGGAAAAGTGTACGTATAGGCACAGATGACGATTATTCGCACTGGCCCCTGCAAAGGTATAAGTATACACACGGCAAGCCGAACGCTAGTCCTTTGTATTCAAGGCACTCTGGTGCCGCGCATGATATACGACAGAAACGAGCAAAGCTATATACTTTTATGTATGTACAAGTTATATATATACCCTACAACCCCTATACACACCTACAACGAGAATATAAAGGTATATACACATCTATAGGAAATAGGTGCGAGACGTTGTGCACGTCTATCGGGCAGCTCCCTTCTAACGCACCGGCACGCCGACCTTTGAGTTACTAGCCCTTCGCTTGCAGAGATAAAACACCCCTACATATTATATCATACCTCAGCTACTTCCACAGGTATACTATACATACAGTAATATAACGTATTCGCATACCTTCTCTCTCTCTGCTGCAATCCGGAAAATCGGGCTGGTGATGCTGTCGCTTCGGGTTTATCTTCCTTCGTCTCACCGTACCGAGTCTGAAACAAAATTTTGAAAATTGCTCAGGGGGTGCTTTTTCACTGTTGCATTTGTATAGCTCACGTTTATCGCTGGTAATGTTCAGGCGCGCAGAAATGGAGAAGAAAAAAAAAAAAAAAAAAAAAAAAAAAGAGGGAGTGAGTGATGAATCATTGGCATTTATCTCCGAGTATTGACGCGTGGAGGCACGATATAGGGAATATGTAGAGCAAATTGGGGAGTTTGCCATTGGGATGAATTTTTCCCTCGGCTCTTACAAAAGTACACAGGGAGATTTTGGTTGAGAGCGGGGCACGCATATATGTATAGACACACAGGGGGGCGGGGGTGGCAAAAGAGCCGGATCATCCGATATGTTCTCGGGCGGAGGGTGGAAGAATTTTCGGGGATCCAGCCTGTACAGGGGGGGTAGAGGTTTGTACCGTACGGGTAGTAAAGGCTCGAGACTGTTCTAGTATAATCGTGAGGCGAACGAGTGGAGTTGAAAAATGCAATCGGTGACACGGTGCCATCTGCTCCTCTCGACTTTTCTCCTCCTCTCTCTCTCGCTTGAGGGGTATCACTGGGTGACTGTAATATCTATACTATATGACACAGAGCACACGACCGCAATCCCCCCCTGTAGGTTGTAGCTGCATGGCTGCATCAGCCGAAAACGGAGGGGAAGTGTAATTTATTCGAGCTCATGCCTTCGGTGGTGCTGGTGTTGTTGTGGATGCACACAGTTAAAAGAAAACGCTTTTAGGTATTATGACGCCTTTTGCGTTTTCTCTCGATCGATACAGGCTGCTCTTTTCTTTTCTTTTTTCCGTTGCTCCTTGTTGGGCTGCTTCATTTACACTTGGGATTATTTAGGTTACATCACTACTGACCATCACCACCACCACCAGTGTTGTAGTATTATTATTGGAGCGATGATTTTCATCCTCTTATATATTTACGGAGATTAGAGACATTGGAGCGCGTTTCTTTGTACTTGTGGGTCTTATCTAATAATTTTATGATTTTGTTTGGATAAAATGTTGAAAGATGCAATTTATTTATCTACTGATCGGAAAGGTTTGGTGCATTTAAAATATAAAATACGTGTAATTGAAGGATCGAAATAAAAAAAAAATTAAACTGGCTGTGTAACCAACTTGATTGTTATATATTTTTAATTTCAGTAAATCTTATACGATTACCACGTTGTTGGCAAATTAAAAATGAAACGTCTGTACTGAATGGCACTGTTTGAAACTTGCCAAATCCACGAAAACAACTAAACGTTCAAGTTATAGTTAAATACACTCATCGTCACCAATCATAACTCACCTCTCGCACCTATACCCATAAGTATATAACGACAGCTCGATCCATACCACTACCCTTTAAGAAGGTAGATTAAAAAAAAAAA